TCTTCTATTATGTAAAAGAGTTATAGAAATAGTATATACATTTTCGAGTTGTGTATCACCACAGAGATAAAAAGATGATATCTCTGGCTAAAAACTCATTTATTATTCATCTAGATAAAAATAGGGCAGGCTATCTGCATTAATACTTTTGTAATAAAGAATAAAATTACGCAAGAAATTCTGCATCCAAAATAATATGAGAATGAGGTTCTAGATCTAAAAATATTCATCTAATTGCAAAAATGCCACTGCTAGATTTCCCAAAATATTGAATGCTTCCATAAGTATAGAAATCAACATTACTGAAAGAATTTTGCCATCCTAAGATATAAATAGAAGAAATTACCATCTCTTATGTTAGAATTTGCATTAAACTAATAAAGGAGAGTTTGATGAGTTGTATACACTAAAATAATGAGTAGTATCATTTAAATTTATATAAATAATAAAATTATGTGTTTTAATAAAATGCACATAATTTAAGATTTAGATCTTCTTATTAAATTTTATTGTTATATAAATAAAAAAAAAATAATTGATAATTAAATTCATTATGCTTATAATTCCTTATTATTGATATATATACTCTTATTAATAACATTTATATTTAATATAATTTTCTTAATATGATAAGAAGCAATTTTGAATTTCAATATATTAAAATATTTTTAATTCTTAAATTCTACAAAAATAAATGAATAGGAGTTTCAATTTAATAATCAGATCCTTTACAAGAATGCTAAAAATGTGTATTTATCAGATAATAAAACATAAATGAAGACTTTATTCTAAATGAACATTAATATCCTATTCTATTATTTAATAATAATATATTTAATTCCATTATTAAGAATAATTTTGTAGATTACTTGATAAAAGTTCCAATTTTATCTAAAAAAGTGGATGAAATTTTATTATTATTGTTTATTACATTTTATTATGGCTAACCTACCATTAGGAACAAATGCAAGAAAATTAAAAATAATAGGATCATTCAAATAGGAAATGATATTATTTTCTTGTATAAATGACTTATTATGAGTGTGTCTGCTCTTGATAAATTTTGAGTATATGATAATATTGATAAGATATTTAAAATATCTATTTAGATTGATTACAGTAAGAAAATAATTAGTATATAATATGCATTGTCTTCGTTGAATAAAAGCAATTTATTTCAAAATGTACCTTAAATCCTTATAAAAATATTTGAATTTCAACAGAATTTAACTTTTTTATCAGCCTCAAAATTTATCTGAAGAATGAATTATGATATCAAATAATTCTAATAAATAAAAAAGACAGAATATTTAGATTAATAATCATTTAGTATTTTTAAGGTTTAATTTTTTTAATCATCTAAGCCTATAGCTTATGAAAATATAAAAAGGAATAAAAATAAGTGTATTTATATTTTATTAAATTATAAAATCAAAATGTCTAAAATTAAAATATTTTAATGAAATTGCTCTTCAGCTTTCACATAAACTAGAAATAAATATTAATATATGGAATTAATAAAGGCAGAACCTAAACATATAAACATATATTCCTTATATTCATGATTTAATTATTTAAATTTTTCTTTTTATTTATGATAGAAATTATATCAACTCATTTTGGTTCAGCTAGAGCACTCATTTTTTTGCTAGTTGTAAATTATTTTATATGGAAGTAGAAATATAGCTTAATAGGTTATTAATATACTAGTAAAAAAACATGTGAAAATTCATATCAAGGTCTTTATTGATGGAATTTCACTCAAACTTCCATCGATTAAAAAGAAAATATTTGATAAATCCTATTATTTATATTGTTGATCGATACGATGGATTAAAATTATTGTAAGAAGATTTTATTAATAAGAAAGGAAAATAATTGAAAAATGCAGGACAGATAAAGAGAGTTTACAATTGATTTTTCTGATTTTTAAGGATCGTATTTAATTTATATGGAGGAAGCACCTGCTCATAATAAGGATCGTTATTGAGGTAAATATCGAAATATTATTTGAAACAACCTTTAGTAGAATTTTCTATCTTTTCATCTCCAATTTAATCTGAAACTACTATTGAGCCATATAATTAAATTGAAATATGAATTCTTCATTAGAACACATACATAGATATATGAAATATCTTAAAGACCAAGCTCTATTTGGACATTTGCTGAAAATGTTAGATATTGAAAAGTGATCTTATGCAAATGAAAACAGGTGGATATTTTAAGAAATATGCTCACTCATTTACTTTTCCTAGAAGGACAGGAAGAAATGGTTTAGAAATAACTTGTTCTAAATCAATTAGCCCAATTTTTTTATACTCCTATTCACAGTTAATAGTTGTTGATAAATCAAATAGAGAATAAATTTTAAATGCAGAACTATTGAATGCAATGTGCGATTGATAGAAAATATTAGCTCCATGCAATATTTGATAAGTAAAATAGATGGAATTTTTTGTATGTTATAGAGGAGTGTAACAATTAGTGATATTAGGACAGAGCTGCTTCAATAAGTATTATAAAGACAATTTAAATTGTTGACTGGCATCAAACACAGTGACATTTTGTCTAAAAAAAGCGATTTCTTAAGTATTTATAGATGGAGATACTCGTATGATAAAGAAGGTCAGTCTTAATAATAGCAAAAACCATTTCAATAAAATCTGTATGTTGAAAATTTAACATTGTATACGGAAATTATGACTGAAATTGTTATAAATTAATGTTATTAAATAGAAATAGAGAAGGAATTATTTCAATATGTTAATGCAAAAATCTTAACGTCACAACAAAAATTATGAAGAAATTGAAATTCTATCATTATAATAAGCATTATAATGCATCCTGTTCCTCTTGTTTTTTTGTTATTAAGGCTCAAGGTTCTATATGACTTGAGAAATGTATGTTAATATTATAAACCTTGTCATAGTATTAGTTACTAATTAATGCTTTTAGAAAATTTAATTCGTTGATTGCAAGCCAGATTAGAAGTATTGTATGCCCATTTAAAATCTATGAATATTAATACTTTATTATCATAAGCCTTTAATCTTGAAATATCCTTTATCAATTTCAAAATCTAAAATTAAGTTCCGAAACCTTTTTAAAGCCAACTTATTGTAATTTTGCTTTCACAGTATCTGCTTAAAGATTTTTCAAATCGCAATTCTAACTACTTATATAAAGGACTTAATATTGTAATTGGTGCTAGCCTGTGGAATGTTTGGAGAGTTTTTATTTAATGGGATTAAAAAGAACTCTCCAAAGTTTTTAATTCAATCTTTTTTACTACTTCTCAACATCATTCAAAATAATGAAGGATCCATATTTGGAAATCCTAGAGTCTGAAATTAAAATATTCTTTATATAAAAACTGTTCAAAAGTAATAGGTTCTAATTCTGGAAGTGGTAGAGGTTGGAAATTAATTAGTCCTTAATTATCTCCAAATATATATAATACATTATTTTATACTGACTGTTAGTCTGTGATTAAGCTATCTAAACTAGCAATTTAACAATTCGTGATTTCACCATCCCTTTTATTTGGATTAACTATAACTAGCTTGTTAATTAGTTTATGGGTTACCTTATTTTACTTAGTTCTGATATTACTATTAATTAATTAGAATATGTTTAATAAATATTAAGAAGTTCTATGTATTATTGATTCTAGACCTTACCTTTTCCTTCTATAGATTTAGAATCTCTTTGATTCTCCTGAATGTTCTAGATAATTCTCTGAAGTTCTCACTACGAGAATAAAGCTAAAGCATTTTCCTTATTAAAAAAATTGGGTTAATTTACTCCTATTAATTACCATAAAGATTGGTTTCAAGGTTATTTAAGCCAATTTATATATGCATTTTTGAATCCAGATAAAATAAGCTTACATGAATCTTCAATCGAAAATTATATCATTTAGTTTGTTTAAGCTAATCTTCTCAATCATTGTATTAAATGAGGTAATTCATGAAGATTTTTGGTGAAGTAGAAAAAGAATTTTTAATGAATCAAAATCAAATGACATTCAGGATGATCAGATGTTCTATTTTTAATAATAATTCCTTAAACATACTTGAATTTTTT